GTGACAGCTGTTGGTATTGATAAGACGCCACTGACCTTGCTGGATGGAGGCGGCCGCTGAGAGGTGGAGGGGGCCGACAAGTCCTGTGCTGCACAGCGATAAGGACCCCGGTCCCACAGGCACGTTGAGTTCTTTACCTCCTGGTCCTGGCGAAGTTCTTTGCTCGATTTTTTCGAAATCCAAGCAGCAGGTCTCCAGCGTACGTCTTCGGTCACATGTCAAGTTTTGGCTCAATTGGGCGAATAAAACTCTATCAAAAAAGAAACCGCCGTGGAGCCGATGTGTCTTTGTCACCGGCTAGAGCCGAACGCAATACATTGGGTCAAAGACAACCGCAGTTGGTAAAGGCAATTAGAATCAATAAGTAACACCAGTAATAGCCACATTGGACCCACATTTGAAAGACAACTGGACGTAGAAGGCATACAAGAAGAAGAAGAAGGCCGAATAAAGAATAAATACTTTTATCCCTCATATTCCTGTCCATCCCGACCACCTCCTCGCATCAGACGCTTAATCTCGTTCGAGGTGATAGAGAACTTTGAGGGAATTTTCAAATTTTTTTATTGATATTACACAGGGAATTATAATGAGAGGACAGATATGAATTAACGATTGGAATCTATAGGTGTCTAATTTCAGCTTTAATTGTTTGCATTAATAGTAATAATAGCAATCGGCGGGATGTCTGGTTCGTTGGCATAATTATTTGGTTCGGCGTTATAATGCGTCTGATCCGAAAGATGTCGGGGTAAAGTATTTTTATCAAGAATTCTGGAGGATTCGATCCTCCAGTCCAGACATCTTGTTGGTTAACACTAATACAGGATATCTAAGGTCATTTTTGACAGAAAGGATTTGACGTGAGAGGTTCTAGCTAACTAGACTTTTAATGAAAAACAGTAGAAATGGTTAGTGAATGAGAGCAAGTAAAACTTGGAGAGTCAGAGGGCTATATCCCTATAGATTGCATATCGTTGTGTTCCTTGTAACTATTTATTTTGAAAAAAACCAATGTTTCCACAAATAAACTAACTGCCCCCAAATGACGTCTAAACATGGCGGATTGACGACTTTGACTTTAGATAGTTTTTTGGTCACTGCGAATCAGAATTTGGCTTAATTTCGTCATAATTGGTCTTTTATTAAAGCTGGATAGTCATATAACAATACAATATGAAAAAATATTTAAAAATAATTGCCTTAGACTTTGAAAAACACTAGTAAAGTCATTTTTGTTAACAACAAAATTTTCAAGTTGAAAATTAAGCGTCGTTTATAATTAAAGGGCCTACAATAACGCAAAACGTGTTGAAATAAAACATCTAGAGAACATATTTCTCTTTCCAAAACATTGACTACTTTTTAAAATATTTTAAAATGTTTTAAAAGTTCCGTAGAAAATTCCATTGTTCAGAATTTCTCTTAAAAACCATACAAGGGAAATAAGGACAACTGTATTTTCACTTGGACATTTTTTAAAGCTGTTAAAGCTTTGTCGAGATTAGCAATGTCGAATTAACAAATTGCCGGATTGATGCAGATATATTAAAAAAAATAATATGATAACATCATATAATTATAATAATATATACCATAAAATCACAATAAACCGTTATTGTAATATGAAGAACTCTAGAATGATAAGACGTTTATCGTTCGGTACAGCAAATAATAACCTTTTAGGAATTCCTTCGTTAATAAGCCAAACAATTTTACTAGCTCATTTGATTCGCCGTGATGTAATCACCTCAATTATATTAACCGGATACAGTTCATGCAATTCGGCCATGTGTAACTGTCTGAACTCTCCGGTGAACTCATCCTTCTTCGGTCCGAATATTCTACGCAATACTTTATTTTCAAAAACCTTGAGAAGTTCCTCATACCTTAATGTAAACGGACACATTTCTAATCCATAAAGAGCTGATGGTAATATAATGGTTTTATAGATTCTAGTTTTTAAGTTTCGGGACAAGAGGCGCGAGCTAAGTAGTTTTGCCACAGAAAAATAACAGGTATTTCCTCCTTCAGCCTAATCTTAGGTTATCTTAGACTCCAGATACCTAAACATCTCTACATGTTAAAACATAGTACCTTCTATATCGATATTACCGGCAGTATTGCCATTTTTTGAGCTAACCATATATTTTCTCTTATCCGTGTTTATTTCAAGCCCTAGTTCTTTAACGGCTTTCATTAACCTACTCGTATTTAGTTTTATAATTTCCGTGTCTTCGCTTAACAGGACAAAATCATCCGCGAAGCCAAGCACGGCTGTTGTCCCACCCAGATTCCACCCTTTTTCGGTACGCATTACCTCCCTAATGGCATGTTCTAATCCCAAATTTAACAGGACAGGCAAAAGGGAATCACCCTATTTTAAATCCGAACGAACCTCAAACTTTTCGGATAAATTATTACCGATTCTAACTTTTGAAATGTTACGTTTTGTCCCCACAAAAGGGATGACATTAAAGCTACGTTTTGGGGTGTTTAAGTTTATTCGGGATGCCACTGGATAATTACTGAGGATAATTACCCAGAAATGTTTAGTAAAAAATTAATTATAAAAATTAGTAAAATAAATTTGGATCTATAATATATTGATTGGTCCAGAATTAATTAATTGGATTTTTTTCTCAAAGGCTGGTTTGTGTTCATCATTCTTTCTAATTACACACATTACCTGTGATCATCATGATATAAATAGCTGCCAGGATTAAAATAACTTTCACTAAAAAACTTAATTTAAAAATTCTAAAAAAATATTTCTATGTTTTATAAAGAATATATACAAGTTATATTTACAAGAACAAAATACGTGATTCAATTAATTCAATAATAACTGTGAAGGCATGATTTCAGATGGACTGTTTCGAGAATGTTATTTCCATAAAATATTCTAACATTGGTAAATGTATTGTTGGGAATAACACTTATCTATTGTATATGAAGTGCTGTGTTGCCAGATTTCATCACTGTATCTGCTAAGTGGAGATCATCTAGTCATGGTTCAAAGCTCTGCCAGGATCATCATGATCTATGTGTAGGGCGAAGGCTTCAGTCCCCAAGCCGGAAGAAAATGTAAGACCCATCCTCAAGGCCGGACATCATCATAAGACCTCTTTTCTTGCTTCTCGGTAGATTTTATACAAACTTTTTAGGGTGGGGCAAGGATGGTTTCCATTGGTTCTTAACTTCATCCTATTACTTCACAATAACTGGCAACACCCTAAAAGGAACCAGTTATCCATTCATCCACCCATTATCTGCCCAATACATAAGAGAGGAGATCAAATAGAATGTACCAAATATAGAGGAATTTGACTCCTTTCATGTGATTATAAGCTGCTCTCTAACATTCTTTTTGAGAGGATCCTCCCATATTCTGAAAAAGAACGGGGGAAATATCAGGCTGGATTTCGACGAGGACGCTCAACCACTTATCAACTGTTCTCCCTCAGGATGATCCTAGAAACGAGTATGGAGTGTAAGGTAGTCACCCATCATTTATTCCTGGACTTCAATGCAGCATACGACAGCGTTGATGGAATACAACTATACTGTGCCTTGGAGGAGCTAAGTATCCCTCAGAAGCTTGTACGCCTAATCAAGATGAACATGGACAGCTCGAAATGTAGAATACGCGTCGGTTCTGAGGCCTCTGAAGAGTTTGAAGTGAGCATTGGGGTTCGTCAAGGGGATGCCCTCACCTGCCTATTATTCAACTTGGCAGAAGAGAAAGCCGTAAGAGATTCAGGTATTCAGACCAGCACAATAATCTTCAATCGCCTGACACCGCTTCTTGGTTTTGCTGATGATATTGACATAATAGTAAGGTGTGAGAGAAGCGTTTACAGCCCTTGAAGGAGCTGCAAGACGAGTTGGTCTAGAAGTCAACCGGAAGAAAACTAAGTATATGAGAGTTGGTGGTGAGGTGGATCTGAACTCTCCATTTGTGGTAGGTTCTTTTAAGTTTGAGAAAGTAAAAAGCTTTATATACCTTGGGTCTGAAATAAATAGCAAAAATTACATGGCTCAAGAAATACAGAGAAGGATCACGGCTGCCAATAGATGTGTCTTTAGACTTGGCCGCCACTTTAGAAGTAGGTATATCTCAAAGAAGACCAAGCTGATTATATACAATACCCTTGTACGGTATGGTTGTATGGTTTAGAGGCTTGGACGATGACGAAATTTGATGAGATGAAGCTGAGTGTGTTCGAGCGAGGAGTCCTCAGGAGAATCTATGGTCCAGTAAAGGAGGGTGATGTCTGGAGGAAAAGATAAAATAGGGAGCTCAGTTCTCTCCATACAGACATCGACGTAGTCACCTATATTAAACTTACCAGACTAAGGTGGGCAGGGCATGTGGCCAGAATGAGCTTCTTGGAAATGCCCAAGAAAGTAATGATTGAGGAGCTGCACCTCGCAAGACGGGTAGGAAGGCCGAGGACGAGATGTTTGGACTGCGTAGCCTATGAGGCAAGAACCCTGCTTGGGGTACGGAACTGGAGAGCTGCAACTGAAGACAGAGCTAACTGGCGAAGGCTCTTGGAGGAGGCCCAGTCTCGGTAACGGGATGTCGCGCCACATATGTATGTATGTATTACTTATTCATTTACCCGTTGTAAATGAAGTGAACTGAAATTGAAAATGCAAATGAAAGTAATTCATATTTTAACTATTCAGTTATTGAAGGTATTGTTGTTGAAGGAGAATGAACCAATGATTTTTTTCTTACCTCATTGAAATCATGAAATAAAACATAAAATTTGAATAATCGCATCACTCAAAAAAGGCCCTGTGCTTCCACATTCTCTGAATGAAGTCTTTCAGAAAGTTTTTTAATGATTTCACCCTCCAATTTTAAAGTCAGTTATATTAAATTTAAAGAACTTTGAACATTTGTCTGAAAACCTAAAATAGAACAAAAATCAAACATTGAACTTTTAGTTTTCAACATTGTTCCAGTTTCATATAAATTTATATTCTAGGTGTTAGTAGAACAAGTGATGGTTTTGGAAACGATGACTCCATTGGATTTTATGGACTTCCGAGGATATCTTTGTCCTGCATCTGGGTTTCAAAGCATGCAATTCAGAGACATCGAAAAAAAACTTGGACTTAGACTGGTAAAATAATTATTTAAACTATTAATATAAGCTGATCTTCTTATCAAATAAATATAGATTTGAAAATATAATGCAAAACATAATCATAGTATATTTTTCATTTTTCAACATTCCAACACACATTGATATTCATGAGGGCTACAAGAACCAAAACAAAAATTACAAGGCACTTTATTGAAAGGGCTGTAACCCCTTTTCTGATTCCTAATGACTGCCCATCAGCCTTGACTTATTTTAAATATAGTTAATAAATAATTGCATTAATAGTTTCTGATTTATCTTTATCGTTAATCAAAAATATTTAGAAAACCTATATTTTTTATAGATGGGTGAAAAACTATAAGAATATATTATTCGATAAACCAAATATTTTTATGGATGAATTAATTATATTTCTAAAGATTAAATTCTTAGTCTCATAAACTCAGTCATTAATAGTTTTCTTTTCATCAATCAATCCACATTTAAAGGTTGTAACAAAAATGAAATAGTGATATACAGATGATAGTTTCTAATAAAAGTTAGATTTTGATTAAACTATCTTCATTCTTACCTTTCTTACCTTACAAACAAAGATAATTTTATACACAACTTATTAAAATCTAAATTTATTTTAATGTTTTGCTATTTTTAAATAAGATTCAGTACTTAAAAAGTGGAACCAATTTGTATATATTATTTATATCAGAAAATTATAAATATATTTTTAAATGCTTGTATTTGTTATTTATTTTATTCATTGATCAGGAATGGTTTGGTTGGATAAATTTTTATTTTTAAGAAGTTTTAGTTATACTAAAATTGCCATCAATAACTAAATTATAAGTTACCATATTTTAATTACCGGTAATGTTTTAATTGTTGAAGTAGTAACATTGTAAATTTGATTATTTCCTTTCAAACCTGATACTCTCTTTCAATACCAGAGGCATTTGACTTTTGATAGAGGAGTGTTTGTTGGGTTTTCCTGGATTCCTGCATTTCCCTCCTCAAAAGGGGGACAAGCTTGGTTCAGAGTTCCCCAGGCTGAGTGGAAATATTGTACATAAGTATGGCTGTGTTCATGATGTTTTATTTGATTATATTATAAGTTTCATTATAATTTTCTCTATTTAAAATCAACAGTTAATTATTTTCTTTTTAATTTGAGAGTAAATATGGTGTGAATGAATAAATAACACCATTATAAAATCTCCACATAGCCATAGACCAACAGAAACTGATCATCCTGATCCTTCTTGATTTTTCCAAAGCATTTGATTCAGTATTATGGCCTCCTAACCAAACTTAAAAAAAAAATTCCTTCTCATCTAGTGTCCTTAAGTAGCTCCAATCCTTCCTCACCGGTCTCTCCCTGTATGTTGTATTACGTAATAACCCTCCATCAGTGTCTCTACTCTTGCCCAAAGGTGTTCCACAAGGTTTCTCTTTATCTCCCACCCTCTTTTCCATCACTCGCAATACCATATCTATGCAGATGATTTCCAAATATACCTGTACTTCCCGTCTTCTGACCTATTACCAGCCACAAAAAAACTACAAGAAGACTTGAACAGAATCTGTGAATGGGCAGTAGCTTACAAGCTGAAGTAGAATGCAGTGAAGAAGAAGGCAATCCTAATAGGCTCCAATCACCTCCTTAAAACTATTCCTACACGATAATCCCATCAAATTTTATCCCACCATCAAGAACATAGGAATAACCTTTGATCAGACTCTTTCCTGGAATAACCATGTATCCAATATCTCCTGCCATACCTTTTCGACCTTAAAACGTCTAAATTACCTCCGCCACCTTCTTCCTTTCTAAACCTTTAGACTCTTGGTCAGCTATGTTATAATATTTCCCCACTTTGAATATTGCTGCACGGTATATGGAGGTGTCTCTGGGGATCTCGAGGTAAAAATAAAACATTTGATGAATTGCTTGGTACGATTTATCTTCGTGATTCAAAGGGACGTCTCTGTATCCTGTTTCTATGAGGATTTAAAGTAGCTATATCCTTCCTACCGTCGTAAGTATTTCCTGGCACCCTTCCTCTTCCAAGTCATTCAATCCCACCGCCCCTCATACATATCCGAGCTCCTGCAATTCAAATCCTCATTTAACTCCAGCAATATCCGTTCCCGGTCCTCACATTTATATAGAATGGCCTACCGAACCGCTGCTTTCGATAGATCTTTCATTATTCGTTCCTCAAACATATATAACTCCATCCCTCCCTTTATTAGTAGCCCCAATACCCTCTCTACTTTTAAATCCATGGTACTCAATCATTTCCTTTCCATCCAGTCCCCATAAAATTGTAAATAGATATTCCTGTAAATATGTATATGCATTATTAGTGTGTTTTCAATTACTCCATTTTATGTTTCTTTCATTTACTTTTTATTTTTTGTTAATTGATTAAAGTTAGAGGGTAACTTTACTTTTTTTTTCGATTATATTTATCAGTTTAAATTGTAAATATACTTGTATATCTCTGAGGTTCAAAAGTCCACATTTATGTTTTTGTTTATTATTCTAAAGGGACTCATCCAAGAATAAATAAAGTATTATTATTATTATATCAATGAACTCCCTTCCTAGAGGAAATGATGGATCATGCACTGTCAATACCACCTATATGCCAACGATGTCCAAATTTACCTATCCTTCAATCCGGCAGATGCCTCTACTGCCACCCTGAAACTGCAGCAAGACATAAATAGAATCCGTCCTTGGGCAAATCTTGATAAGCTCACATTAAATATTAAGAAGTCAAAATCCATCCTGAACGGCCCCTCCTAACTCCTCAAATCCATTCCTGTACCTTCCAATTTTCTCCTGAAAAACTCACATATCTCCTTCCATGTTACCGTTAAAAACCTTGGCGTTACCCTTGATCAAACTCTCTCCTCAAATCCACACATCTTCCAAATTTCCCGCCGTACTACAGTTTAACTATCTACGCTATCTCCTTCCATATAAGTCCCGTCAACTCCTAGTTTCCTCTCTTTTTTTCCCACACTTCGACTATGGCTGTATAGTATACGGTGGACTCTCGGGAGATTTGGAGGCCAAACTTAAACGCCTAATGAATTGCACATTACGTTTTGTTTTTGGAATCTCAAGAGATACGCATATTACCCGGTATTATACACCGAGTTGAAGTGGCTCTATCCATCCTTTCGCCGTCAGTATTTCCTTGCTAACTTCCTATGCCAGGCTATTTGAACTCGGCGACCCTCCTATATTCTACGGATGCTACAATTCAAATCCTCCATTCAGTTCCGTCCCAACATTTGCCGTACGTCCGATCTCTATCGTCCTCCTCACCGAACTGCTGCGTTTGACAAATCCTTTTTAACTCAAGCCGTCTTCCCCTAGAACTCTATCCCTTCTGATATTTGACACGCAAAGTCAGTATCCTCTTTCAAATCTCTCCTCTTCAAGCACCATATTACATTCCCAATCCGGTTGATAATGAAATGCACTTAAAAATCTATGTCGTAAGATTCTCAAAGTACCCGCAGATACTTTGATTATTTTGTGATTTATTGATATTTTGTTTATTTATTTTACGTGTTCTGTTTATTTTATATTTTTGTACGGTGTTTATATCTTCTTATTATCCATACTTTTATTTTATTACCAATCATCTTGTAAATATTTAATTTCATTTTATTGAGACACCAACATTTTAATTTATATTCTATATTTATACTTTGTTCTTGACACTAGTCCCAGAATAATAAAATTATTTTCATTTTATTTTATTTCATTGCTTATTCTCCTTAAATATAACAGATAGTAATATTTGACAAGCAAACAATTAAAATCCCCATTCAAATATGATTATCAGCAGAGAAAAAAAAAACTCCCAATAGTTTCTCTCTATTGGATTCCGACTAATCCAGCACTTACTAGACAAACGCTCTAAGCTATCAATTAATTACATAAATCTCATATATATGACTATAATAAGGCCTGTTTGGTCTTACGGAATTGATCTTTAACCCCACTAAACCATCGAATCCCTCTCATATTCAATCCTTATAATTTAAAATCCTTCGTAAAATCGACAATGCTCCTTACCTTTTCCCAAATGCAATCATCCATAATGCCCTTTATGTACCATATGTTTATGTACCATACCTCTCCTTCCATAATAAACATAAGAACCATCCGAACCCTCTCGTTTCTAACCTTACTTCCTCTTCAATCCCTGATAAACCTCAAAGGTGTCTGAAAAGAAGATGGCCGCATAATCTCTTTATCTAGACATAATATTAGAGTGCTACCAGTGGATAGTTTCTCTACAAGCGTTTTATGCCATTATATTCCTGTGTACACATTTACTAGATGTATTTAGATTCTGATATTGTAGTAAATATATATCATGAATAAATAAATAAAATTCTTTGCAGGAAAATAAATCACTTTTAAAACCATGTGATCAAAATAAAGATAAAGAGATTCAAGAAAATTCAAAAGAAAATGATTTATCTTTGGCAGAATTAGTTGAGAGATGGTTAGAAAGGACTCCTGGTCTTGAAGAAAATGGATTTAACTTTTGGGGAAAGTATAAAAAAAATGTTGAATCTTTACTTAACATGTACTACAATGCAACACTGGTAAGGATCTTAGCATCATTCTGATTCATTAAAAACAATACTTTATTTTTTAATCATTAATCATAGGTTAAAATAATAATTAATTATATAGGGTTTCCCATAAGTGCAGGGAAATTTTTATAGGAGTGATAGCAGATCTCAAGTGCTACAAACAATGGGCCAATTTTCAGCAGATAAGTAGAAAATCCAAGTTTTGTGAGTTTTTTAGCAAGTCGTGTTTTTTATTGAATAGGAAGTGAATATTCAAATGAACTATACATACTAATAAAATATTTAACATACTAATGAAATATTTAAGTTAAGTAATCAAAACTTGCTTCAGTGTAAACTAGACAAAATTTACTAAGCTAAATTATGTTATTTAAAAAATCAAAAATTATTAGAGATTTTGTTTATCGCCACCCAACTATACTACAGATACCCCACTTTTAGAAAAACTTTCTTATTTAGTAAGCTTTAAGTTCATATTAATTAAGTTGAGATTTACTAGGCAAAAACATGAGATTCACCTCAAGATATGTAAAAAATATATGTGAATTTTTTTCCTGTAATCAAAAAGTACCCATGTTTTCAGCTAAAATGGCTAAAATTAACTGTTGCAAAGATTTTATTTCTTGTTTTTCCAAGTACTGGAATATATTATAATAAACATAATTGCTTATATACACTTTTTATTAATATTTTTAAAAAATGTAAAAAATAATGATTTTTGAAAGGAGAAAAACAAAATTTTATTCTAGGACATTTAGCCCGCTTAGAATAATTATTTTGAACAAAAAGAAGAAAACTGTATGGCATTTTAAAAACAATAAGAAAAATTTTAGCTAACATAACATAATAACCTACCCTTATAATTAAAATAAATTAAGTATGAGTAAACACATTGATATGTAGATAAATATAAATGAGTGTGTTTCCATATTTGTTCTGATTAACAATATTGACAATATGTAAGTAACAATAACATTAGAGTCAAATGAGAGTAACAGCTCTTTAATGCGAAATTTTATTCTTACATATATTCGGAAGATTGGTAAGGATGTGGAAGAATAAATGTTATTTAAGTGAGGTTAAGGAAGAGGATTTGCATATTGAGATAGGTAGAGAATTCCAAAAAAAAAAAAAGGTAGCACGCATGATAAAGGATTTTTTTAAGGAAACGGGTCTATGAGAGAGAACAAATAGGTTCATGGACTGGGATCTCGTGTTAAACGAATGAGCAGAGGAACAAGGAGTAAACAAATCAAGAAGGTAGCATGGATTTTTGGTTGTAAAGGTTCGGAAAAGGAATAATCCTAGGAAATATTGCCTCCGGACATCTGGATAGAGCCACTATCCAAATGTCCGCCATCAGCATACCAACTGGAGACTTGGGAGTGCCTGGGGACTCTAAAGATGAATCGAATGAAACAATTCATTAATCTTTTCAATCTGATCTCAAGCCCACCAGACAGTCCACTGTGTACAAGGCAGCCATGATCGAAGTGAGGAAAGATGAGCGAAGAGACTAGGAGTTGGCAGGTTTTTAAGGGCATAGAATCACGGAATCTCTCGGATTCGGATAGATTGTCGGATAAATTGGAAGACATGATTGTTCCAGGACAGTTATAGATCGAAAATTACTTCGAGATTTCTGACAGAAGTATTGGAAATGAATAGGTAGTCCATTGAGGTAGAGTAGGGAATAGTATGGGATGGAATTAATAAGATGCTTGGAACCAATGAGAATGGTTTTAGTCTTCTCAATGTTTAACTTTAAATCATTACTTACTGCCCAAATAGTAATATTGTTTATATCTTCTTATAGTCTTCGGATAGCATCTCCGTAGGATAAAAGGAAAGGTAGATTTGGAGATCATCAGCATATAAGTGGTATTGTGAATGATGGATGCAATCAGGAAGATCGTTGACGTATATAAAGAAAAGAGTTGGAGAGAGCGAAGATACCTGAGAATACCACGAGTTAGTGAAAGGAAAGAGGAAGCAGTTTTATTGGGAATAATGACTGTTTGGGTCCTATGATACAAGAAGGAATGGAACCACTTTAGGACGCTATTTGATATGGAAAGGTTTTGGAGTTCAGAGTTGGAGAGTTGGAATCAAACGCTTTTGAAAAGTCGAAGAGGATCAGGATAGAGATTTTTTGTTTGTATATGGAGAGATGAAGGTCATGGTTGATTTTCAACGAAGCAGATTTGGTGTAGAACTGGGATCGGAAACCTGACTGGAGGGGATTGAGGAGAGCTTTTTACTCAAGGGAAGTATTAAATATTGAGGATAGACTAGTCTTTCCAGATGTTTTGAATGAGGTCGGTCTGAAGTCGGAAACTTTGGAGGGAATCGGAACTTTGCTCAATGGGCGAACTATAACTTTTTTACAAGCTGATGGGAAGCAGGAATTTCGTAAGGTAAAATTGTAGATATGCAGTAGGACAGAAAAGATGACAGGGAGGCATAGTTTGACTAATTTCAATGGGAATAGATCCGGACCATAGTCGTTCATTCTGTATTTGAGAACAGAGGAAAACAGGTCTTCTAGTAAGAATCTGTATGGTCAAAGGAAGTTTTAGGAAGGCAGAGTGAGGGAGAGAAAGATATTGAGATAGGATCGGCAAAGAAGGAATTTAATTGATCGGGAAAAACAGGAGGTACAGGTTTTTGATTTTACTATGGAGAGATTTTTAAGGATCTTTCATCTGGACTTAGGGTCTGGTGCTTGTGGATGAAATATGGAAGAATTGTACATTAGCATGTCGTACAGAAAATTAGGTTAGGTTTCGAAGGGGTTTGAAATAGATGTAATCATCCGGATTACGTGTGCGTTTAAAGTGTCTTCTAGTTGCTTCTCTTCGTGAGCCTTCTGATTTCAGGATTAATCCAATGATCAGTAGGACGTCTAAAGGTAGAAATCTTTAGAGATGCATGTTAATTCAGAAATAGCAGAAGATTGGAGGAAATACATTCCACCATTTCATCAATGGAGGAATAGGAGAAGATTACCAGATATCTGCCATAGGAATTGATCCGTATTTATAAGTGACAAACTTAATGTTCGCGATCCTAATATTTATGTTTTCATAAAAATGATTGAAGTAATGAGAACATTTTAAATTTAACTACTAGAAATACTAAGTTTGTCACTTATAAATACGGATCAAATACTGAGATTTGGAAGAAAAGTATAGTTTTATAATTTTACATGAAAAGTATTTAAAAAATAATTACTTTTATTTTTTTATTTATATGTAAAAATTGTATTTATGCAATTGTGTTTATTGTAATACATCCCAGATCATGGGAAAACAAAAAATAAAATCTTCGCAACAGTTAATTTTAGCCATTTTAGCTGAAAACACGGGTACTTTTTGATTACAGGAAAAAAATTCACATATATTTTTTACATAACTTGAGGTGAATCTCAATTTTTTCCCAAATAAACCTCAATTTAATTAATATAAACTTAGATCTTATTAAACGAGGTAGGTTTTTCTAAAATTAGTATAGTTGAATGATGATAAAGAAAATTGCAAATAATTTATGATACACTGGCTTCATCACCAGTGACTTGGTTGAGAGAGTAGCGCAGGGATCTGTTAAAGCTGCTTTTCCTTCTATAGTTAGAGGGAGAAGCCTGGCTTTGGGTTCCCTGACTGATTGTATATATTGTATATAGGTATGACTGTGTTTTTATGTTTTTAATTTACTTATCCTTATTTTTTATTGTACATAGTTTTTTTTATTATTATTTTACTTTTGTTAATTTTATATTTTCTTTATATATGGTGTGAATGTGTTCATTTATCAGTATAATCATGGTCCACGAGACAGAATAGTATATGTCTAAATAAAATAAAGTAAAAAAAAAAAATTATGATAGTTTTAAAAATACAACTTAGCTTAGTTTGGCCGCTCAAACGTCCTCTTTAACTAGTTTTAATAACAACAAACTCCATTAGGTTTAAAGTAAACTTTGTATAGTTTACTGTAAAGCAATTGATAATTACTTAAATTAAATATTTCTTTAGTTATCGCTTCCTATTCAACGAAAAACATGACTTACTAAAAAACACAAAACTTGGATTTACTACTAATCTACTGAAAATTGGTCCATTATTTATATGAACTTTGTTGTAGCCCTTAAGGTCTGCACCATTCCTATAAAAATTTCCCTCTACTTATGGGACACCCAGTATATTACTTATCAATATATAGTATTTGTTGCAAACTTTAGATTATCTCTACAATTTTTATATTATTCATTTGTAAGCTAACCAATTTCAAGACAAAAATTCCATATCTTGTATATTTAATTATTTATTCACTTATATATACTTGACTATATTTGCAACCTATAACTTTAACTTTTTTTATAAGTTAGTCAAAATGAGTTTTGTTTTAAATATTTTATATAAAGTAAGTTAAAATACTAACAATACATTTATCCATTTTGAATGTCACTGTGATCTCAATGTCCAAATATTTTGAATAAGTATGAAGATTTTTTTGGTTTCGATTTTCAATTCAAATCTAGTTGGTCAAAATACATTTTGACTATAATGAAATTTAATAATTTAACTGATGTATATATGTATATCAGTTTTCACATGTTAACTATTTTTAACATAAGTGAAATTCATCTATTGGCGGCTATTCCATAGTATAATTTTAGGATGCTAAGACAGATTGTGAAAAGCAAAAAAGAATGGCTGACTACGAGAGGAGAAAAGCTACCTTTGATTCAGTCACAGACATTAAACTACATGAATCCTTAGTTCAAAGAGGGGAAAGACGATTCAGGCACAAGGCTTTACAAGGAGCAATAATGATAACCTTTTATCGAGATGAGCCACGTTTCAGTCAGCCACACCAAATCCTTATGTTGCTTATGGACATAGACTCATTAGTAACAAAATGGAGATGTAAGTATACGATACAGTGTAGTTATATTGGGAAGTGTATTTGTATATATATATTTTTATGACCGCGTGATGTGGTCTCCTAGACCACATCCCGATTCCCGATTTAAGTACAATGGGTAGAGTCATCAGTCCTACGCCCAGTCGGTTTGAGTTGCCTCCAGTATGCTGACGGGGCTCACATAGCCGAGGGGAGGATCTCAGGGGCAGCGTGGCTTTCTCTGATGGATGATCATCCAAATCGGGCCAGTGTATTTTGTCTATATCATACCCTTTCTTTCCTGATATCTGGGAAGAATTCGCATATATTTCCAGCCTGCCAGTTTTCCTCAATAGTTTGTTATCTTTCTTTGGGGAATTCTCTTCTGGCTGTTCTTATTATTTTGTTTGTCTTTTTCCTGGCGGCTGTGTATTTGTCTAGCATAGCTTGATCAGTTTGTAAGCAGAGAACTTTTCTTCTTACTTTTCTTCTTTCTTGTCGCATGCTTCTGTGAACCATTTCTTGGCTTTTCTTTTTTCCTGAATCACTATTACTTCCTTAGCTGTTTGTTTCAACCCTGACTCTAGTGCCTCCCAGTGTTGATCAACCGTGAGGCCTTCCGAGTTCTAATCTAATTTTAATCACAGTATGGTCCGAATCACAGTCTGCTCCACGATAACTCCTTATGTTTTGTATGGAATTTTGATGCCTCTTGTATATCAGCATATGGTCGATTTGGCTTTTTGCTAAATGGACTTACCCAGGTATACTTGTGTATGTCCTTGTGCAGGAATGTTGTACTGCTTACTAATAGCCCTTTAGCTGCTGCCAGACTAATACATCTCAGTCCATTGTCATTGCTAATTTCGTGGAAACTTTGGCCTCCGATGATGGGCTTAAATTGGTTTTCTCGACCTATCGTGGCATTGAAGTCTCCCATGACTAATTTTATGTCATATTTTGGAGCCTGGTCCACAACTTTTTCTAACTGATCATAGAAGTCGTCCTTCACCTCATCCTCTTTTTCTTCGGAACAGTGCATACACGTTAATAATCGTGATATTGAACCAAGGATCTCTTACGCGCAGCACACTAATCCTTTCATGAACTGGGGTTAAGTTTATTACTGACTTCCTTGCGGCCGGATTAACTATAAATCCAGTGCCAGCTGTCAAATTTTGTCATTTCGCTCGGTGTAGAACAGTGTGGAGCCGTCTATAGTGGTTTCCCCGCCGTCTGGCCACCTTACCTCTTGAATCGCTGTTAACGGTATGTTGTACCTTTTTACTTCATTAATTACCATTTGGGCGGCTCCTGGTTTGTATAAGCTCCGAAAATTCCATGATCCGATATGGAGTCCGTTATACAAAGCCGGAGTCGTTGCCATGTTAAGACAGTCAGATTTTCCGAAGCTGGTTTCAGGTTTCCTAATACGGTGCTTTAGCCCTATGCCCAACCCCCAACCTGGAGAACCAGGAGTTATGTCTGCCACAGGGTCACTCACCTCCCTGCGGTGTGAGTTGCCTCCAATAGGCTGACGGGTCTCACATGCCCGAGGGGGGGGGATCTCAGGCAACGTGTCTTTCCGTGGTGGACGGTCACCCAAATCGGGCGGTGTCACCCATCCAAGTACTGACCACGCTCGACATTGCTTAACTTTGATTACCTATTGCAAACGCCTTAGCCCGTACAGCTACCCCGGCCCCATATATATATATATATATATATATATATATATATATATTTTTTTTTTTTTTTTTTTTTTTCTGTTGGCTCTACAGACCATGTATATCTTTGGCCGGCTGAACCAGCCTTCTCCACCTCTGCCTATCTTGGGCTATTGCTTTCCAGTTTGTGGCATGAAGTTCAACCGTATCTTTGTTCATCCTATCTATCCATCTGGTTTTTGGCCTCCCACGCGGTCTCTTGCCTAATACTCTGGCATTCATTGTCTTGTAGAGGCGTCCTGATGGATTACTACGAGCTACATGCCCTGCCCATCTTAACCATACATATATATATATATATATATATATATATATATATATATATATAGAGAGAGAGAGAGAGAGAGAGAGAGAGAGTGAGTGAGTGAGTGAGTGAGTGAGTGAGTGAGTGAGTGAGAGAGAGAGAGAGAGAGAAGTATTGATATTAATTTAACTTGGAATTATTTTAGATAATCATGTTATAATGGTTCAAAGGATGATTGGATCTCAAAGTCTAGGAACTGGTGGATCTTCCGGTTATCACTACCTAAGATCAACATTAAGGTAAATATAAAAAAATAAAAAATTTATAATTCAATTTCAGAATTTTAATAATGGAGTTGAAGAACTTTGGCAGGTTCCTTTGTTGATCCAACTCAAATTAATACTATTAATATCCTGTGGAACACTATTAATTTTGATAAAGCTTTGTAAAACCTAACAAAAAACATTTAATTACATCAGTTTTATAGACTCTAAATAACACTAGCCTAAAAAAAAATAATTATACTTTTGTTTCCGTATTGAAAATAGCTGGTTGTTTATAAAACATTTATGTTGTTAAATAAATAAAAAAATCAATAGTTGAAATGTTCATATTGTCAGTAAAATTGTCCGCTTTTGAATGATCCCTTTTACTTTTTGCTCGTGCACTATGTCTGGAACATACCTCTCTAAAATATGGCATCAGATTTTTGTCGATCTATGTGAAAACTGACTTTAACATCAATATAGTGACAAAAGATTCCATAGCTTAAGTTTAGAACCTTTGAGTTCAGCTTTGTCTTTCTTTCTTCTTCTTCTTTTCCTTTCTCCACACACCTTTCAGTGTGGAGAGACCTCGATCCATCTAATCTATTCTTGCCTTTCTTGTGCGAGCTGTCTCATTTGAACAAGATTTTTCCTTACAGCTTGCAAACATATTGATTTTATGTAAATCTGCGTCTTTCTCGCAGTCTTATGCCAGAAGGTCTAGACTCTTAACACCTTCTGTGGGTCTTGGTCCTGATTCATCATTCATCATTTATTGCATACATGACCGAACACCTTAACTGGCGTTTGTGTAAAATATCTTTTAATGTAGGGACTCCTAAGTTTTCTCTCATTCTTTATGATTCCTAACACAATCTCTTCTCGATTTACCTGCAACTCGGCATAGGTATTCCACCTCAACTGCCATAATTCGGTTGATATATTTCTTATGCGCAACCCAACTCTCAGTTTCGTACATCAGGATAAGGATAAACATTACTTTAAAAAAATGGAGTTTAACTTCGTTACTCACTTCTTGTTTGCCTAGAATGGTGTTCCAAATCTAAAAATATACCTCATTCGCTTTTGGTCTATCCTTGCTATAATGCTAATTACTGTTTCCAAATAGGTATAACTGTTTGTAGTTTCCAATTGGTCTCCGTTACAGTAGAACTACACATTTCTTCTTCCATCCCTGGATACAATACAAAGTACTTTTCTCATGGAAGTACTGATCTTCATGACCCACACAAAAGCTTCTCCTGTCACTCAATTATCATTTGTAGCAACTTGTCTTTGGTATCTACAAGTAGCACAATATCACCCCCGAATAAGTTGCACTTTGTGAGGATTGTCCTGAGTTTCCATATTCCAACAGATATCTAGGGTTTCCTCCTTTTGCAAATTTATAGATCTCATCCATCATAATTATGAAAAGAAGGGGGCTTAAGTTATTGCCTTTTTTAACTCCTTGTTCTTTAAAGAATGGTTCAGATGTTTGATCATTTACACCCACAATATCTTTTGGTTCTTGATAGGTAAATTTTATTGCATCTATTAAACTTTTAGGAACTTGCTTTAGCTAGAGGGATTCCCATAAATGTTTTCTAGGAACAGATTTGAAAACCTATTGCAGATCCAAGAATGCTAGGTACATATCCGTATCTCTCTCCCATGACTACTCCAGTATGTTTCTTATGATAAAAATATTATTTTGTGTCAGCATTCTTTGCGGAAACCATCCAGTTACTTCTCATAGTCACCCCTACTATTTCTCTTAGCCTTTATTGGAGGATAGATGTATACATTTTGTATACTACATAAGAGAGACATTTCGGTTTATTGTCGCTGCGTTCACTTTGCTTGCCCTTTTTGTAAATAGGAACAATGATATTTATTTCCCAACCCTTTGATATCTTCTTGCAGTATCATAGATTCTGAAATAGGATCTGTGGAACTTTTACCATCTCTTGCCCTCCATATTTAATAATTTCTGGGGGAATCCTGGAATCATATCATGCAGCTTTGCCAGTCTTGATCTTTTCCATAGCTCTTTCTACTTCCTCCTTCGAGATAGTTTCCTCTTCATTATTATGCCTTTCTTCAGTTATCCACTAATAAGTTTTCAGAGAAAACATTTTTAAAAAGTCTTTTCCATCTAACTATGTTCTCTTCCGACTTGTTAAAAATTTCATCATCCTCATTCATAGCATTCATAATTCTCTTAACACATTTAACACATAACAAGGAATTAAAGGATAGGAGACCTGGGAGTGCCAGCTTTGAGGGAAACAGGAGTGATCCAAAGAAGTTTTTCTAGGCCAGATCTACCGGACGCCATCCTCGAGGAAGACCTAGACTGCTATGGATGGACCACATCTCCAGGGTTGGTGAAATGAATGGAAAGTCTATGAATTCTATGAAAGCGCTGGCTCAGGGCATTTCCCGATCGGAAGGCTTGGCAGTCCTGGATCGGGGTGGCTCCACGCCGAGAGGCACAAAGGAGGGCTTTTAGGGCTAACTTTTTCGTTGGGCTTGGCATAGTCTCAAAACATATGTGTCAGCTACCAACAGCAGATGATCTTTTAAACCTGTAAAATATCGCCTTAAGTCCCTAGCATAAAGGATATTGTTAATAACACTGTTTCTGTTGAATGTAGAAAAAGTCATTTTATGCATTTTTTTTTTGTGTGTGTAGACCAAATGCATTGCCAATCAACAGATCATAATCTATACAGAAATCAATTAATCGCTGGCCATTATCATTTAGTGTTCTTTCTCTTCCATGTAGTCCAATAACTCCATGTACACTTCTATGATCCAATCCAGTTCTGGCGTTGAAATCACCTATAATGATTATGCTTCTTCTTCTATTACGACATTGGTTAATTGTTTTCTCCAATTCGGTATAGAACATCTCTTTATCTAGCAAGTATACATCCTCCGAAAGTGCATAGGCTTGTGTTGGATTGGCAAATAAATCCTTTCTTTTTTTCTGTTTATTTTTATGTCCACTATGATACACTTCTTATCTGATGGATAAATCCCTAAGATGGATTGTTTATCCTGTTTGTAATATGTCAACAACTATATCTGTTAACTCTTGTTGAAACTAGCTTAGGGAACTAGATTGCATCCAAAGAAGATAATGCATTCCATATGGTGGAATTTCAAGGGTGTTATTTTCTATGAGCTATTGCCATCAGGACAAACCATTGATTCAACTTTATACTGCTCACAATTAATGAAATTGGATCAATCAATTAAAAATAAACGCCGAGAACTGGCAAATTGGAAGGGTGTTATGTTCCACCAAGACAACGCTAGGCCCCACACCTCATTGGTCCCTCGCAATAAATTATTGAGCCTTGGATAGGACCTTTTGCCCCACCCTCCCAATTCACCAGACCTAGCTGCAAGTGACTACCACTAGTTACGGTCTCTGCAGAACTCCATGAGTGGAAATAAATTCCAAAAGGAAGAGGACATCAAAAACCACTTGGATCAGTTTTTTAACAATAAACTCCAGACATTCTATGAACATGGCATTATGCAGTTAGTGGAAAGATGAAAAGCAAGTCATATTAAATAAAGTAGATTATACAAAATTCAATATATTGTAGATTAAATACATTTTACGTCTGTAATACATCGACTGTTCTACATATAATGGGTGATAAATATTCAGGACAATGTCTTTAAAAAAAAAATTATTTTTTATTTGTGCTAATGTTTCAACCCAAACATGTGGGTCATCTTCAGGGCGTGGTTGGAGCACTCGCCACATCTTATTTGCCAACCTAATACAACCCTATGCACCTACGGAGGATGTACACGTGCTAGATAAAGAGATTTTCTATACCGCATTGGAGAGAACAATTAACCAATGTCGTAATAGAAGAAGAAGCGTAATCATTATAGGTGATTTCAACGCCAGAACTGGATTGGATCATAGAAGTGTACATGGAGTTATTGGACTACATGGAAGAGAAAGAACACTAAATGATAATGGCCATGATTGATTGATTTCTGCAAGGATTATGATCTGTTGATTGACAATGTTCGAACCACGCCCTGAAGATCACCCACATTTTTGGGTTGAAACGTTGGCACAAATAAAAAGTTAATTTTTTTTTTTAAAGACTCCTGAATATTTATTACCTATAATACATTGAGTTTTATTTCACCTGGGGATGATTTTCCTTCTACTTGATAATATGCTCTTCACTACTATACCTACATTTCCCTTTGCAAAGCTACCTTTTGGAACACCTGAGTAAATTAGAACGTGGTCATGGTCTAATTTCGTCTCTCCAGTACCCTTCTTATAATCACCTTATTGATTCCTAGGATATCTATCTTATATCTAAGAATTTCCTGCACAATCTCTACTTCTTTATCGTCTTTATATTCCATGTTGCCATTCGTAGGTCCTTGATCACGCCATATTGTTTCCGGTTAGACTGTTCGTTTATTCCGAGGCTTCTATATTTTCTCTGTAGCATATACTCACTTCCAACAACTCTTGATATGGCTTCATTGTAATCAGGCAGCAATTTATAGCCATTCACCGTATGGGACGGTTTGAAGATATTCAACTGTCCACTTATTTTCTTTGATATTCCATGTTGTAAAGATGATGATATGCAAAAATAACTATAATTTAAATGATTTTTAATTTCACGTCCAATCGTTGGCTCACCAAAGTTTCTCTCCAGCTAACCACCTATGAAGATTCACTGTTCATGTATTAGATCAAAAGTGAGGTGCCCATGACTTTTCTTGATCACGTACCTTGACTCAAAAGTAATAAAAGTAGACTATATTAAAGGCCATTTTTAAACATAGAATATCACTTCATTCCTTATGTAGCAAAAGTTGACAGCACTATTAATGCATTTGTGAGACATTTTCACAGTTTCAGTACACAATTTCTGGAAAGTTAAGAAGTATCACTGACTCACAAATCACACAGTATAGTCAGTCAAAACCTAAACACAATTTACAATAACATCTGCCCAGACAGGTTTGCA